TTTTAGAAATTAATACCGTATCCAATTCTCCCAAACGTATTTGTTTAATATCACAGCCGCATCCAATAGTCCCCAACCCCCACATCCCGACTCTTCACCAATGGAAACATAGTCACTCGATTGACAAAACCACCGGGTACACCGGCATCAACCGTCCCCACCCCCCAACCACTAATAGCATCTACCGCTGCAACCCCCATAAATCTCACCTGCACATCTACGCACCCTCGCTCCAAACCGGTAAGATCTAACCCCCCCAGTCTCCCCCCGATCGCCGCTCCGCACATATCCGTACGCGTACCAGGGGGGGGGGATGAAGAGGATATGTACAAGGGGAGGGGGAGAAAGAAGAGTGTGTATATGCATACTACCTTAGCCAGCCAAGACCAGGCAAGCAAACGTTGTTACCGCCAAGCCGCACCCCCTCCCCTCACGTGGCGCCACTCTCTTGTTTTTTTTTTACCGAAACGCACGTTTGGGGTAGCGAGTGCGTGCCGCGTGGCGCAATTTTTTTCTGGGGGGTGGTGGGAGGGCTCATGTACCGGGCTAGGGTTTATTTCATGCCGGGCTAGGGTGTTTAAGTAGGGTGAGGTATGGTTGGTTGGTGTACTCTTTTTTGGGGGGAGGGACGGGCGTTTGTGGTCACATGTGGGAAGGGATGATGTGGGACGAGGATTTGGCTGCTAGTGATGATATTATTAGGGAGGTTTAGTGGGGTTGTAGGGAATTGGTGGTGGACAGGGGGGTTTATGTAGAATGTGGCTGTAACGGCGGGTCTTGGGGGGTGCCTGGCACGCCTTGTTACGCGGGTTTAATGTGAGGTTTGAGGGAATAAAGGGAGAGGGGGCGGCTACGGCTGCGTTTTTTTGGCATGTGGAGGTAAAGAATGGAAATATTGGGATTGTAGATTGTATAGGTTTGGATGGTATGTACATTGGTTTGCTTGTCCGTTCAGATATTTACAAAGTGGCCCACTGCTGACATCCTTTCTAGAGGCGTGGTGATCCTTGGAATGCTCTGACGATGAAAGCCACAGCGGGGTCCATCAGTTTCGGGAGCACATAGGTTAGATGGTAGTACTGGCAAGATCCCGAATCGCAGACCTGTGTCGAGTCATTAGCATCGCGTTCCGTCCCACTTCTGCGCCACACATGAAGCTGATGAAATACCTACAGGATCGCCCTTTGCACAAACCTGCAACACCTTTGGCCGCAGACCAATCGGGAACTTGTCTCCCAAGGCGCCCAGCCCCTGCTGAGGATCACCAAACATGACGACTGCCTTGATCCGCGGGAACAAAGACACGGGGAGCTTTTCTGCGGCCCGATGCATAATGCTTGCTCCCTGCGAATAGCCAACTAGAGCAAAGGTCTGATTGGGACATGCAGCAGACTGCGTAGTTAGACGCTTGACAATGTCGTCTGTGCCTTGTCTGCCACCAGTTACAACCTGAGAACTTGCTGGATACTATCAGGGAGGCACAGTACGTGTCAGCTCTTATCTATTTCTAGGGGATTTTCTTGTTCTATTCCTGTGGATCGACGTACCTGAACCGGATACCCCTGGACGCCAGGCAGTTGTGCAGAAACATTGCTCACGACGGGGTCACCAACGATGACACCAAACTTGGGGAAACTGGGCTCGCTGGTACCACGAGCTGGATTTGACACATCAGTCTCTTGAAGAAGGGGACTTGAGGTTACTGAACTGCAGACTTACCAACGAGAATCTCAAATGCTGAACATCCCTTGGGAATATCGCCCGGAACAATCGGCACAGGCTGCCCGATTTCAACGTCGTTGGGAGGAATCGCAGGACAAGTTTCCTGAGCAGAAGACAGGGCGATCAAGGCGAACGCCAGGAGAGGAGTGGTTGACGTGTAATGCATCGTGCTGTGTATTTTTGCTTTGCCTTGTGCTTTTTTCTTCTTTGCTAAACTATGCTGCTGTGTGTTCTCCTAACATAAAGCGAACAAACCTCCCCCTTATAACTTCGCAAACACTCACTCTCTTCAAAAGCAGCCCATACTCTCTTCCATCACAATACTGTAAAGTCTCCACGGAGATTTGGAGGGACACTGCAAGTGAAGCAGACCTCGGCATCTTTGCTGCAGAACAAGCAAGGATGTTCTGATGGTGGTGGTGTAGCGATCATCTGGATCAAGCCACCACTCTTGGCTTCTACTGGAGATTAATCTATCTTCCTCGATTGCAGCCGAGGTATGCGCATATCATAGTATAGAACCAGAGGGGTATATGAGATGTGCCGACTGTTTCATGCCGGCTCCACATCGGCATCTCGATGTTTTGCTTTTTGCATGGGCAGTCCCATGTCACCGGTTTTGCTCGTTTTAAATGAGATAGATCTGCATGACAGCCCGGTTGCAGATGCCTTAAGTACATCCGCGTATAACGTTTGGACTATTCTGTGACGGTACTAGTAGACAAAAGCCGGTTACCACTGTGAAATTGTGGGGTGACTACGCCACATGCACACAAAATGCAAAGGACAAAAGCAAAGTAGGTGGTCAGCCCTACATGTGGATAGAGGGGGAAAGAAGGAGGGGAAAAGCAACTAAACCCACGCTCTTTCCACGCGAGATACGCGCTATTCTCCGACTCAAGCCGACTCGCCCTCATCCCGATCGTTTCACAAATAAGAATAACCAATCTGCCAATCGGGTTTCTTCTGTGACAAGGTCCTGCTACTGATGACGGTGTTCAGTCACTTTGCTTACCCCCTGGCTCACACTCACCAGTTGTAGCCCTCCTCAATCGATCTCACCCATCCTTCCAGGCACCCGCAATATACAGATGAGCAAAAATCACGCTGCTTACATCTCATTCTCCACCAAAGGGCAAAATGTATACGATACCCCGCCTTTTGCCCTGCAGTATGCAGCTACTCTAATTTGTCCCGAGGGCTTCAAACCGGTAGTAGTAGAACCAAGTGACACCACTTAGTACTCAGGGTTACAGCATGCCGCTCCATCACACGACCCAGTCCATTACAAACTCGACTTTGAACCGAGGCGAATTTTTTCAAAAAACGCTGCTATTGGTGTTTGCACGGTTTCAGGGCTCCAAGTCTTCCTTTTACCTAGGCATCTAAACACCCAAGAATCGTCTGATGTGTATGCAGACTACTCCCCCACTTTCCTTTCAAAACTCTAATACATGGCCCTTACTCCGTTGAGAGTACGTACCACGTGTCTTGGTATAATATGCACTGGGGCTTGGCTTGCTTCAAGGTACAGCTAGGGGTTGTACCTTGGGGCCCTCATTGGACAGTGAACCTGGAACAGAACCATTTGCTCCCTTCGAATGCCTCGGCTCAGAAGGAATAGCAGTCGGCGATTTGGATCTCTGTCAACTTGTAGCAATCAGTGCGTCTGTGCTAAGGCACAATCTTGCAAGCGTGGGGGCCAAAATCCACTGCTGCAGCATTCGGCAATTGACAATGGGAGGATTCAGGAAGTGGGCCAGGGAATGGATACCTCTCTTATCTGAAGTTGAGTATAAAGATAACTGTGATTCCACGATTTTTTTTAAACAGACAGCAAGCAAAGCAAGCATCGCTTCCTATCATTCACTCACTATCCCTTCCAGTCTTCCAAACAATTCGCTTCTCCACCATCTATTTCTTCATCTTCATCTTCATCAGAAAGTTCTCCAGCTCTTTCACTCCAAAAAACAGTCAAGATGATGAACTTCCTCTCCATCCTCGCCCTGGCCATTGCCGCCTCCGCAACCCCAATTGCAATCCCTGAAACTGGCGATGCAGTCGTTGCTACCCGCCAAATCACTGACCGTACGCGTCTGACCGAAAACCAATTCTCCTCCTTGATTGGCGGTGGATGCAAGGACGTTATCTTCGTGTGGGCCCGTGGATCCACCGAGGCCGGCAACATGGTAAGTGGATACTTTCTCTTAAAAAAAAAGCCCCCCCAAAAAAGCAAGATAGTACATGCAATTCCTTCTACTTAGATTCTGACTTGGAAACCTTTTCCAGGGTGCCATCATTGGCCAGCCCCTGGGTGACGAGCTCCGCCGCGAATACGGCAGCAACCTCGCCATCGAAGGTGTCGACTACGCTGCTCTGCTGTCCACCAACTACCTCCCCGGCGGCACCGATCTCGTTGCTGAGCTCGAGATGCGCGGTATCCTCGAGGACATCAACCGCAAGTGTCCTACTGCCACCATTGTTTGCGGTGGATACTCGTACGTCCCCCCACTTATCCCTCACACTCACTTCTTTTCTTTGATACTAACCACGCCAACAGCCAAGGTGCAGCCGTCAACCACCGCGCCATTGAGGATCTCTCTGCCGCCGTCAAGGACCAAATCGCCGGTGTCGTTACCTTCGGTGACACCCAGGCCCGCCGTGACAACCAGCAGATCCCCAACTTCCCCAAGGACAAGCTCAAGATCTTCTGCGGTGGTGCTATCCGCGACACGGTCTGTGACGGTAACCTTGCTGGGGCTGTCTTGCTTCCTCACCTTAGCTACGGCAGCGATGCGGGAGAGGCTGGACGCTTCTTGATCGGAAAGATCAACGCTGTTCGCGGTGCAAAGGCTTAGAGTTTCGGACTAGAACTTACTTCTTGAAGATGGGAGAGGGGTTGGGGCAAATTGATTGGAAGAGTAATGCAGGTCATTCGGAAGAAGGAGGGTGGGAGCATAGTTGGCGGTATTGTATATATCTTTTGCTCGGCAGGGTAACTGTTGGGTTACATCTGGTTGTATATAAAGACGAGTGGAAATGCGAATGGAGGATTTTCTTATAATTTGGTCCCAAGTGCACTAGGATATGATGTGATATTTTTCGAGAAAAGATATCGATAGCTTTTGAAGAGATCAAGAACTCTATCTCTAACTGGTATTGTCATTTTTTGCCAAAACTGCGAGGCCTGGAGATGATAAAGGCAAGCCTCAATCGGCCGATCCGTACGCGACAATATTTACCAGCTGACTCCATTATGCCTATGCAAACACGACATCTTACTGCGTCCGATTCGGCTTTCGCTTCCGTATGCGGACAGCTACCGGTTGCAGCGGCATCACAGAGCCGAAAGCCTTATCAGACATGGTCGGCATAACTGCATCCGTGAATTCCGGATCGCAAAGTTGAATCTCCCACTCATTCAACAAGACGGCCAAAGTCGCTGCCTGAATAGTCTGTGCGAATTCACTGCCCAGACCGACGTTTTGGTGGCCGCCAAAAGCAGGAGCTAGTAAATCAAGACCCTCCAAGCTGAACTCGCCCGATTCGAAACCGCCCCTTTTCTTCGGCTTATCGGGGATGAGAAATCTGCCTCCCCAGAACTCCTCCAGTGGTTTCTCAACGGTACGCGGCCGCGCTTTGGCCCATGATTTGTTATCCAGTGCAACGTCGTGTGAAAACGCGATCGGTAACCTTCCTTTGGGGAGTATGTATTCCCTGTCCAAGAGGATATCATGGGCTTTGGCGGGATATATCATGTACTGCGCCATTCGCAAACGGTTGGTCTCATGATACAAAGACTTGACAAGAGGTAAAGCTGCAATTTCCGTAACACCATAAGTTCCAAGCTTTTGTGATGGATTCTTGGAAACAATGTCGTTCATTTGATTCGCCAGTTGTGGATTGCGCAACACTTCGATCAAGGACCAGATTGTTGACGGAACGAGTTTGCCATTTGCACTGCATGCATAGGTCAGCATACGTATTCTCGTTTCTCACAAGCGAAGTCATCCCCCAATGCATACGCACCAATGAATGATCTTCAGTAACTCCACTGGTCGCAATTCTTCAGATATGAACTCTGACAAAAGACTGGTGAGTTCTTGAATAAATGGGGACCCTCTGTGATCATCCCAGTCTAAATTTTCGGTATCAGCATTTGCAGTGTTGCTGCCGCTCTGATTTGCCCTGAGCCATTTCTCAATGCCTTCAAGTAACGCATCGCGAGGCTGTTCGTATGCAGTCGCTCCGATTAACCATGACAGCCCTGGTACATAGCTTTCCAGGGCCTTTTCGAATGTCCAATAGTCTTTCACAAATTTTGGATATAGCCGGAAGATGATCGGTCCAAACAATGTCTCTACCAAGCATCGTGTAAGGACTTGGTGAAAGAAGGACCAAAAGTCTTCTATCTGTGTCCACGTGCCGACCTGGAACATTTTCTCATCCATGTTGCTTGAGAGCTTTGAAGCATAACGCTCGCCTATAGTAGCCATCGATTCGCCAGTCAAGTGTTTTCGGATTGGTGTCGTGAATGCATTGTTGACTTTTTCATTGTACTTTGCAGGATCGGAAAACTCCTGTGGGACGCTGGCTTGACGTTTGGGCACCTTGAAGAGCCCCTCATATTCGTGTCTTACGATGGAAACCTGCTCTGATGGTTTTGCTGCTTCTATAACTACTTTGATATGCCTAGGCTCCCGGAGGACCACGAAAGTCTGCAAACCTGCCCTGACAGTGAATGGGGCGAAGCTGCCAAACTCCTTGCTACTGCACATCAGTGACCATTGCCCATAATTCAAGGTAGCACCTTACAATAATCTAGCGAAGAACTTTTGCGGCCCTTCCGCGGCTATGCTAAACGTATGGAACACGCCAGGGACCAAGTACGGGATTGTGGGCGGCCTTTTTCCTGCTGCATCTTTCTTTGCACTTTGGAAGAAGAATGCAGTAGTGAGGTAATATGTGAGAGCCGGGAGGACTATCACGGCCACTGCAATGAGGAGAAGCATGGCTAGTGTTGTAGTAGGAAGTCGAATGAGGTGTAGTCGCGGTGTTAAACTTGGAGTTGATCCTAGCGCAAGCTAACTGCTTGTCTAGTGCTGGGATTGGCTGCCACCGCCTCAACCAATTGCAGCTTCAATCATCATTTACAAGGGTTTGTATTCGCGAGATGCTAGTGCCGACATTTCCTATGAACTGCAATGCTATCACCTTCCAGCATCGTTCAATGTGCCCGATGCGCTATCGAGCATTCATATTGCCAAATACTAGTTCATGCACGCATATTACTAAGCTTGGGTCTGAATGCAAAAGAAAACACTGTAGGCATTCTATTTGATGCAAATGGGGTATCATATCCAAACGCCAGTATCTATGTACTTCCCAAGAAGAATTACGAATCCTACCAGCTTGCCAAGACCTTGTCCACCTTTGCTTGGCTGTTATTGCTAAGTCCATCCATATCGATATCCTCGTCATCTTCCGCAGTCGAAGGCACCTGTACGTTTCCAAACTTCTCCTCGACTCTTGCTGCAACACGTATGGCTAGTGTCCTTGTTTTTGCCAGCTCCGGGGCCAGAGGTGCATCCTTCCATGCCAGATTTGGCTGTATGTTCTCCTTGGGTTTACGATAGGGTTCTAACAACGATAGCAGTGTACGATATGTGTTGAGCTTGTTTTGTAGAGTCTGGCGTTGAGCAGATAGCTCCTGCAGGCGTGAGACAGAGGAAAGGTATTCGTCTTGCGTTACTTGGTCGTTGCTATCCCGGGCATGCCATATCGCAGGCAGTTTCGCAATATTCTCGTCAAGAGTGAGATCAGCATTTTGGTACAATGTGTTTACATCATCTTCGTGAAGATCAGAAGCGGTTTGGTCGTCCTCTTGGTCGTCGTCAGCGGGCTGCGCGCCCGAGTCCCAGTACAACGTATCTATTTGCTCAACAACATGCTCAATCATTTGGCGACTGTAAACTGTCCGCGAGTGTCTCTTTAGGTCACGGTTGACTAGATACTGGATTAGTTTTGATCATGGATCCGAGTGTGGGATTAAGAAACTACCTTTATCAAGCACTCCTTTCATGACACTCAGCTCGATGCCGCCATCTTGCGCAAGTGTTCGCAGTCGCTCCGATGGCGGTATTCCACGCGACAGGATATGTTTTCTGGTCTGGAGGAAATGTTGCTTCTGCTCAACAATTGTAGCTTGCTTTGAGCCAGGTACCGGAACACGTTGACTCATTATGAATGCAAAGGGCGGTATACTATCGAGGGATTGGGATGGGTGCATCGATTGCGGGGAGGCACTGGGAGCGCGACGCGTTGAAATCAGACTTTGCCTAATCAGGACTAGTATCGAACATGCATTTTACAACGAATGAGAAATTCTAAAATACTATGGTTGCAACCAGATATGTGAAATTTATTTCGACACGCTCAAATTGGGATTCTCGCAAGGAAATCTGCGAAGCATATTATCTGTCGCTCTATTGCGCTGTCAGGCTATAACAATAGGTATATTACTAGCAAGTCGCATGACCCAAGCATCCTTAGGCACAAATTAGTATGTGACTGCTCCCAAATATATAGCGAATACGTATAATTTTCCCCTTGAATCCTCCGTAATCACTTGATTTTCTTGAACATTACTGCAGGAGTATCTGACAATCATTTCAAGCAGGTGGCCTGTGCATGATTTTAGTTGCAGCTACTATGGGTATGGGTGCGTGCGGGGGGAGAACGTCACGACTTCCTGCGTTCCGCGTTGTGTCAACCACAGCAACGTGACAGGACCGAAACTTGGTACACGTTCTGATAACAGGTCGACCGCATAGCTTTGGTCAAAATCACAAGAACTACAAAAGGGATATATAATGCTACGCCAGCAAATGAACGAGGTAGACCTTTTGATACTGGGGGCTGGCTGGACTTCAACGTTCTTGATTCCGCAACTGGGCGATACCGACATTACCTACGCAGCCACCACCACCTCAGGGAGAGATGATACAATACCTTTTAAGTTCGACCCCGAGTCCGGAGATGCAGAGCTGTACAAGCGACTTCCAGCTGCGAAAACGGTCCTCATCACCTTTCCGTTAGTCGGTCACGGCCAATCAAAGAGCCTCGTCGGATTATACCGCTCCATTCACGGCGCGAAGAACAACTGGATTCAACTCGGCTCAACCGGAATTTACAACAAGGTACCTGACGATTGGAGCGATGAAGATGCGCATTACAACAAGGAAGACAGGAGAGCCATTGCAGAGGACGAACTGCGCTCGCTCCATGGCTGTGTGTTGTGTCTTGCGGGTCTTTACGGAGGGGAGCGTGTTCCCGCGAGGTGGTTGCCACGTATCGTCAAATCCAAGGACGATATCAAAAAACGGGGCGCGGTGCACTTCATCCACGGCGAGGACGTCGCACAAGCCATAATCGCGACGCACCAGAACTTTACGCCCGGGAAACGTTGGATTGTTTCCGATATGCGCGTCTACGATTGGTACGACCTCATCATGAGTTTCAGCTCTATGACTGAATCGTCCATGTCCCAGGAAGAGAAAATGACGCAGCAGCAGTATGCGAAGTGGGTTGGCGAGCTAATGATGGAGGAGGAGATTCGTGCTCTACCAAGGGACGTGGGCTCGTTGGGTAGAAAGCTGGATTCACGACGCTTCTGGGCCCATCACGGACTGTTGCCTCGCCATAGGCGTCTGGCGTAGAGTAATCTCTAATGACATATTGGAGAGTAACGATAAATGTCTCATTGGACTGACATGTAAGCGATAGGCAAATAGAGAAAGGACATGGAAGCTGATAGCTTGTCTGTCACCTATCAAAAGCACAGTAAATAACATTTTGTGGTTGTGTATAAGTTCCTCCCGTTCCATACAAAAAGCCACATCTCCATTCTATACATGAAGGCAGATTCATTTTCCATATATAAGTCTAGATTCTCCCCCCACTCTGAGTTTCTTATCATCTCTCATAACATCACTGCTTAAAGTTCATACTCTCACATCACTCACATTCTCATTACCAACACTCTCCCACCAACCATCACAATGCAGCACCTCCAAGCAACACCGATCGCCGTCAGCCGTGTCTACTCCCACGATGCACGCCAGTGGCTCGACATCAGTGGCCTCCGACCACCACAGCGGCCACTGTTTCCTTATCAACCACAATATGGCATGCTACAGCCTTTTGCTGCACCTATGATGCAGTATCAACAACTGCCCTACCAGCAGTACGTTCCGCAGCTGCAGATGCAGCAAATACAACAACCACAACCACAACAGCAGCTACAGCAACAGCAACAGCAACAGCAGCTACAGCAACAGCAACAGCAACAGCAGCAACAACAAATCTTCTCGGGGACGAAGAGGAATCACCTTGGGAAGTCAAACTCCCACGAGGAGCAACCCCCCGCCCCCAAAAAACTCCGTCTCTCCTCTCCCTCCACTTCCTCCGCCACAACCACCACCACCATCACCCCCGCAAAACGCGGCCCAGGCCGCCCCACAAACGCCTCCAAGGGCCTCCCTACAAAGCGGCCGCCAAGGAAGTCCAAATCCAAAACCGCTTCCCCTACCATCACCGGGCAAAACCAAGCACAGCCCCTCCCCACCTCATATCCCGCATCACAGCCAGTACCCTTCCACCCCGCGTTCCAACCCCCTTTCGCGGACCTCGTTCCAGCGCCGGTAGTAATGACGCCGGCGCTGGAGCGGGAGATTGACGCGGGCGTTCGTGCGCAAATGGCTTCGTTGGAGATGGAAGCGGAGGGGGGGTTGTTTAAGGGGTTTATTGAAGGGGATGAAGTGGCGCCGGTGGAAGTGGTGCCGGTGGTTGAGGAGAAGTCGTTGTGGGATGATTTTTTAGTGCAGGGGGAAGAAGAAGGGGAGAATGATGAAGATGCCCTTGCGAGGGCGATATTTGATGGTTTGGCAAATATGGGGGGTCAGGAAGAGGAGGAGGCGCAGGTCGCCGAAGAGGCACCAGAGGTGCAGGAGGATAAGGAGGATGAGAAGGATTCATTGTTTGGGGATGATCCTGAAGACACTGGCGCTGGCGCTGGCACCAACAACGACGATGACGACAGGGATTCTTGGTTTGGAGATACAGCGGACTTGTTCGAGTAATATATACTGTGTAGTACATTTCCGAACAGTGCCTGTGTCACTTCTCATCCACAAGACATGAGAGCAAAAGTGACTGAAAAAGAAAGAATAATTTAAAATGTTTATACTTGATATTGTGGTATAGTCTGGGTATATCGCATAGGCGAAGGAAAACTCTATATGAATGTATAAACGACCCACTCAATAGGGGGAGTGTTCTCTTAAGAGAATGCAAAGGAAGGCTATGATACGACATGGAAACGACCGCTACGCTATGCAAGTGAAAAAGAAAAGAAAAGACCAGCTTAGACTTCAATGTTCTCAAAGGGATCCCGATCAGGCGGCAAGCCCTTGTAGATGACATTGCCACTGGCATCCAATCGCGCATTCACACTGGTGATCCATATTCTCTTCGTGAAAGCACTCGTACGCTCAATCTCGTCCTTAGCGATACCGAGCTCGTCGTGTGGAATCCAGACTGCAGGCTGGATGGCGCGCGTAGCGGGATGTTGGAAAGATCGCTTAATCAGCTTCTGGCGGGCTTCGGGCTCAATGTCTGCAAGTTCGTCGTCGACCTCATCAAACAGGTTGCCGGCAGGAAGAACCTGTGCTTCGGCATCACGTATGGGTTTGGCGACGTCGTCGAGACCCTTCTTGAGTGTGTTGGTGATCACGTCGAATGGATCGTGTTTTTCCTTCTTCTTTTGCTGCGAACGGGCGTGTCGTGATTGTGAGCGCGAGTTGGAACTGCGGCGGGAACGGCCGGTCCGGCTTGCATCGCGGCCACCACTTGGCTTTGGCGATCGACCGATTGCACCCGACATGTCATTATCCAAATCGTCCAACTCATAGGCCTCTTGGCCATGGGACTCGCGACGTTTTCCTTCTCCGAGACGGGTTTCTTCATGTTCTCCGGAAGTCGACTCAGCATCTTCTTGAGCGGTGAGAGCCGTGTGCTCGTCCGCTTGCTTCCACCGACTGGCTTGGGCTCGCTGCCACTCCTCGTCTCTCTGCACCGCCTCGTCTTCGAATGTAATCGGAAGATATGTGAACAGTGGCCCAAATGCCCTATTGAGCACAAGCTGGAAGAGGGCAGTGAAGATGAGCATGACAATCATGACAATGGCGTGAGGGAAACAGGACTGGTTGCCAGCTTCGTCTTCTTGCAGGAAGAACAAACCAACGAGGCAAAGTTCCAAGAAGTAAAGCCCGGTGAATAGCTGGTTGACGGCCTTAGGGAAGATGAGACCGTTAGTTTCGGCTTTAGCGTAACTAACATAGATCATCTGGTAGCGGTACGTGAACCAGAAGAGGCAGAAGGTGATCAACATCATAATGAGGATCAGGGGTGCCACGACAGAGTAGATAAGACCTATTGACTGTTAGAGACGCATGTAGTAGGCACCAAAGCACACTTACCAATTGCACCAAAATTGGTATAGACGGGTATCATAGTACCCCAGTTGATTCCAGGTCTTTGCAACACCCTTGAAACCTTTTGTCGAGGCGTCGTGTCCATGAAGCGGAGGAAGATGATGACGACAACGGCGCCAATCTGCAGCAGGGTACCAGAACTAATACTGAGTGCTTGCAGAATCATGTAAGAGAAGAAGTAATTGGCGGCTTTGGGCAAACTCCTGGCTAGTGTCTGCGGAACACTGAGGGGGTCATTGACAAGGTCGTCAATGGCCGTTGTGATACCCGTGGAAATGGATACCACAAGGAACAATTGGACGAAGACGAAAGCGAAGTAGAAGTTTTGGACAAGCAACTCGCGCTCACCAGAGGTCGTTGTGCCAGTGACGCCCGCCAGGAATCGTAGAACAAGAGGCAGTACAGCGAAGAGAATGGCCAAAAACGCAGGTGGCAACACACCCTGTACGAAGCTGACCACCCAGTCGGGAAGACGATTGATGAAGCCGAGCCATGGGAGTAACGAGGTGAGGGTATCGATCTGAGACAAAGCTCCCGTAAATGTGACAGGCACACCCCAAAAGATGACAAGTCCGACGATTAGAATAACAACGCCAAAAAAGCGTAGATAGCGCTCCCACCACTTCATTGTGAGATTTTCCCAAAGCACATAATTGGGATTGACTTCGACAGTTCGCGGGTTCATCTGCCTGGGAATGTGGTGACTCAGAGATTGACATGCCATGTGGGCCGCAACCTGGTGATTGAACTGAATGAAAGCAGAGTTCATCAAGGGGAACCGTTCCGGATGGGCCTGATCATCTGCGATTTCGGCGTTGAGGCGAGCAAGTTCCTTGCGGCAGTGGTAAATCGTGTCTACCTTTTTTCCAATCAGTGGTAAAGAGGGCCACCATGAGATATTGAACAGCGGTAGGCGCATCGTCTCTCGGTCCTTTGGTTTGACGTACTTTCGCCATAGAGCGTTTTCGTCGTCTTCTTTGAAATCCTCATCCCACAATCCGGTTGTATCGTACTTGATCTTGCTGGCATCTTTGACTTCCATTGGTGGCGCTTCGTTGTTTTTGAACGGCTTTGGACTTATGAAGTCACCTTGGCCAACGTATATAGCCTTGAGCTTCTTGATAGGCTGGCTCCATCCGACCTTGACAGCGAGTTTCTCTTCTTCCTCGGCCTCGACCGCAGGGGCTTTGAGATCCTGGGCCGGAGAGTTTATCTCAGATGCATGGTCGTCGGAGAAGTAGTTTTCCTTGTTTGCTAGGGGAGTTTGAGTGTCGCTGCTTGCGCCTCTCAGATTATACTCGGCCGAAGTCGGTGAAGTTTGGGCAATGTCGTCGGGCCCGTCAACAGCAGCCTGCTCTTGCTCAGGATTTGAGGGCTTGCTGCGATGACGTTTCGAACCAAAGACACCTCGCATATTGCCGTACATCTTCTTGTTAAACCGGTCTACCCCACGAAATCCTTCACCAACTGCATGTATGCCTTCGCCAAACAAAGGAATAGGAATTATACCGCGCTTGCGACTTGGAGAAGAGGATCTTGACGAAGACGACGAAGACGAAGACGAACCAGGCTCGGCAAGAACACTCTGAAGCTGCTGCTCGATTTCGTGGGGGTTACCAGCATCGACACCGTGGTCGTGCGTCTCCTGGTTGATAGCCATGTTCTGCATGGCTTCTTCCTGCCTTTTCTCCTTTTTGGACTTTTTCTCGCCTGCCTGTTTTGCTGCCTTTTCTTGCATCTTCTTATGCTTCTTGGTACATTCGATAATAAGGTTCGTCTCGGCAGCTTCGAGGGCTCGCGCAACTTTAATTCGCTCATCCACCTTTTCCATCAAGGCGTCATAGTCGCGATTGATCCAGATATCCTTGATACCGCCTGGGAATACATCGTAAAGTGCATCGAGAGCAGCGACGGTGAGCCACTTTTTAGGAATGCTTTGGACCAGAATTGTAGTAGCAGAAGCTCGAATACGGTGGTCTGGTCGGGTGAGAACGGTCTGCCTCAGGCGAACAAACTGTCTGAGCGCCAGGTAGAAGTTGAAACAGACCCAACAGATGACGCAGACGGCGAGAACCAAATGCACAACCAATCGGCCATGTTTTCCTGGGACGCCGACATTTGGCCAGGCGAACGAATCCAAGCCAGATACATCGGGTACATCGCCAAGTCGGTTTAGAGGCAAGAGAATTGGGAGGATGATGAGAGCCATTGGGATGAATATGCGCAGTAAAAGCTGCAGGTACTGGAGAAAGAGATAGCCATCGACACCGGCGATGCGAATGAGCTCGGAATCGCTAATGGTAAAGACATTCTTGAAAGACTCGATTGCGGTTACTGGGGCGGCGATGCGTTTTGCGACAGGAACGAAGGCAGTCTTGTAGTAGCTAGTGCTTGTTAGTGAATGTGTGGCAAAGCAAGTGTATGTTACTGCATACTAGATCTTGTGGAAGAGGCTCTGTCGCGATACCCCGTCCTTGTTCTGGTTCTCTTCAAGTTTCTTGGACCTTCTCTTGTGTAGTTTCCAGTTGCCGCTCAGGATGAGGAAAAAGGCAATCTGCACGCCGAAAATTACTGCGGCCGTCGAAAGGGAGGCGGCGAAATTCTCAATGCTCTGGTTTTCTTTTCGCGCGGCGGAGCCAGGGCCGGTTGTGTTTGTCGGCTCTGGGGCAGCAGTGCTGGACATGGTGTTATGCGCCGTGGGTGGCCAAGGCCGCCGAGGGTGAGTGGTTGTGAAATGGTGGCCCCTGTCGTTGGTTTAGGTGCAGGTGGCCATGGGCTGAGTTTAAAAGGAGAGCAGCCGCTGCTGGGTGCGGTTGCAGGCCGTTGGGGATATGTAGCTATGGCGGGGCTGCAGACAAACAAAAAGGATAGTGAATCAGAGAAGCACCGAGGGCGGTATTGGAAGGGTGTTAAGGATTCATGGGTGACTGGGGTAGCCGATGTGTTTCAAGCCTTGCATTCCTTGATGCGCAGTTGGACGGGGGCTTGGCGGCGTCACTGGCGTCCATGAACTCTGGCTAGCCGCCGCCGTTTGAGCCAAACAGGCGCCGGGCCCAATCTACATGCATACCGACCAAATCAAGGGTACAATGTACACCTAGGGCTTGTACAGTACACGTACCTATATCTGTGTAGGTGCGGCGGTTGTCGCTCTGTCCTTCTTTGAAGCCTTTGAAGCCTTTGTCTTTCTCCATGACCGCTGCTTTGCATCCATTGTTGTGACGCAGCCTACCAAGCACTACCGAACATATGCGCCTTTGTTGAATGCACACGAGCAGTTAGTTGTACATGCAGCGCCTATCAGTTGGGGCACCAACGTGGATCTGATCTGAGCCCTTGACCCCGTACTGTACTATGACGTTAAGCGGCATCCATGTTACCAAGTCGTCGTCCCGTCCTGCCCAGTCCGTCTAGCGCTAGTGAGCGCACCAGCCTCATTTGCCCCCACGAGCCGCCACACACCGCCACCCTCCCGACGCCAGCGCCACACGTCAATCACCATAGTCGTACGACGTCGCAACTTGTGCCTGACAGTGCGCCGTCACCTTCAGAGTGCAGTTCTTGCATTGTGAAACCAACCATGGCTCTAACACAACCCAAAGACCAGCGTGAGGCATGTGTGCCATGGGACGCCTTCACACTAAGTACACCTCAAGTTGGGCGCCCCCCGCAGCTTTCGGCCCTATCGCTTCTTGCTTGCAAACCTACAGGGTCTCCCGTGAAGCGCTAGCCAACAGCGTGCAATTCAACCGCTCGCACTCAGACCTCTCTCTCTACCATGCCTGTGCGCCTGTTGCAATTTCCCCCAATCACATAGCAACCGAAAAACAACTGAGCAAACATTTCGGCTCCGCGTCTCGCCAGGCCGCCTCGTGAAGTTTCTCGGGGTGATACAAAGGTCTAGCTAGAGTCTTCGCGATAGCAATCGCACCGCACGTCACAGTTTGGAATTTACAAGACGCCGACAATGCCTTGGCTTCATATCGTCGGCAGCCACGTGCAACTCGCACACGTGCTGTCGCGAGGTCGCGTGTAGTCAGCACTGCCCTCATTGGCTTGTACTTGCTTCAGGGGACCGCGTGTGCGTCATCACTGCGCGCTATGCTTCCTTCATCCTCTCAACATTAGCAATTGCAAGCAACCACTCGCTCTTATCTTTAAACCACTGCGGTAAAATTATATGCTTGCGCGCAATGCGGACCTCGCGCATTTCCCGTGATACTTCCCGTATCGTGGCCGCGAGTCGCGCTCAGCGCGCCCAACGGCAAACACGGTCCGCCATCAATGCATCAGCATCCATTGTTGACGCCAGTCACGTCAAGCAGGAAGCCGAAGCCGAAAGCGATGTGACTTCTCAATCCGGCCTCAAGAGAAGCGCAACCCCAGCAGACTCGTATTCAGATAGCGAGGCGCAACCAGCGCCCAAAAGAAGGAAAAAGGGGCAAGATGCATCCACTGCCGTGAAGCAGGAAGTCGAAGAGACATCGATCAGCACAATTCCATCGCCAGTCAAAAATGCCAAAGTCAAGAAAGCACGCCGTGCACCGGCAAAGAAAATGACAGCCAGTGATGGCACTGTCAAGATCGAGCCGCCTGCAAATTGGGAGGAGATATACGCCCTGACGAGGGAGATGCGGAACGAGAACCCAGCGCCCGTAGACACAATGGGATGTGAGAGCTTGGCAGACAGGAGCAGAACACCACGAGATCAGCGATTCCAGACGCTTATAGCATTAATGCTGAGCAGCCAAACCAAGGATACCGTCACGGCTCCTGTAATATGGGGAATGCAGGAGAGAATGCCAGGAGTTCGTCGCATATGATTCATCCAATCCAGCTCCAGCTAACAGGTATCAGGGCTTCAATCTCGAATCCGTTCTCGCGCTCGAGCCCACGGAGCTTAATGGCTTCATTAACAAAGTAGGCTTTCACAACCTCAAGACCAAATACATCAAGCAGGCTGCAGAAATACTGAGAGACAAGTGGAACTCGGATATACCCGATACGATTGAAGGGCTAGTCTCACTGCCAGGAGTAGGTCCGAAGATGGCACACCTCACAATGAGCGCAGCCTGGGGTCGGACTGAGGGTATAGGCGTCGATGTGCATGTCCATCGCATCACCAACCTATGGGGCTGGCACAAGACACAACAGCCGGAGCAGACGCGTGCAGCACTGGAATCATGGCTACCCAAAGAGAAGTGGCACGACATTAACAATCTGCTTGTAGGCTTTGGTCAGACAATATGCCTCCCAGTAGGTAGGAAATGTGGCGACTGCAAGCTGGCAGATAGAGGCTTGTGTCCATCAGCCGTAGTGGCAAAGCGTACAAAGGTTAAGAGGGAGGAAGCTGTCGTGAAAGTCGAGGCGCCTGAAGGCGACGCGATAGTAAAGAAGGAGGAGATTGTTGAGCATGTGGATGAGATCAAAGCCGAAGATGTGGAAAATGTGATACCGGATATCGAGGACATTGGGAGAGAGCCACGCAAAAGAACGCGAAGGAAGCAGTAGACGCCTATATCAGAAACACACTTTTCGCCTCAACGAGGATATCTGACGTGCGACCAGCTGTTTGTTGCCCAAATAGAAGATCAAGTACAGTGCGACACGTTTTCCGCGCCATTGTCGCGCTACAAATAAGCAAAGAGCCACGGTGGAGCTGGCTTGCCATGCGCGCTTTATTTGCCCGACCCACAGGTTCCAGGGTTGGCCTGCACCTACCGCACCATCTCCAACCCCAGGTAATCCAAAGCGCATCGTCCCATCGATGATGAGACAGTCCAGGCTTGTAATGCCCATGCACCTACAATACTACTTTCACCGTTTCCTCTTACTCAACTGCAAACGGCTCATCGCGCGCTTGTCAAGCGCAAACTACTGGTAGTTCACGCGCTAACTCAGCTCCGATCGTTCTTCACGTGAACATGTACTGATTCGACAAAATACATCTAACTTCCACAGCTTGTCCATCGTTTTGAAAGACTACAGAAGTCGGTCGCCTCTAGTAGTCGTTATAAGGAAGGTGGCGATATTGGGAGATCGGAGCCAGTACCTAAAAGTGCTGTGCAGGGTCTACGGCGAACGCCAACATGTCAACCAGAAAGCAAAACAGTCCCTTTCGCCACAGTCCGTCGCGCCCTGGAGAAGCTGTCACAACCAAGTCACGCCAGTTAATCATATTGCCCGGAACCAAGCTTGATCGCACACGTCCACGTGTCATGCTTCTCGCGGCCTGCCTCGTCTATCTCACTACCACCCTTTTCGCCTTCCAGATCAGTGTCGCCAGCGTCCTCAACTTGACTTCACCAGAGTATGAGCGATTCAATGACCAGCTTCAAGCGCATTCGAGTGCCTTGCGCAAAGAGCAGATCGTCTACAGCCGTCTAGACAATGTTCTCTCTAGTGAGCTGAACCGCAGTTTCATGGAGACTCACGAAGATTGCCTTGTTCGTGGGCTCGAGAGAGCAAATCACGAACTCATCGGTCTTGGGTTCCGGTATCCTGATGTCCGTGAGCAGGTCATGGAGTGGACGATGGAGAATTGTGGTAGATTGCAGTACGCACCACAGGTTGTGAATGAAGCACCGACTCCACAAGAAGCCGCCTTGACATATTGGGCGAGTTTGAGCTATCGTGCTCGCCGAATTGCTAAGAAAACTCTCGTACTTGTCAAGCAGAAGCTTGGTTGGGTTCTCGGCCGACTTCTGGACTCTAGTCAGCATGAAGACGTTTCTCCTCGTATTGACCACGCGGTCACCGAACAAGACATGAGCACTAATGACACTGTCTCTTCCGAGCGTGTTCTACCCCAAATCCCGTTTGGATTCGTTCTGCAATGTCAACCGGACCGGCCTTGCCGTCTCTCCTACTCAGCTGGTTCCACCGCGGATTTTCAAGAGTTGCACATTTCGCCAGAAACTCTCAAGAAACTTGAGCAAAGGACAGCAGAACTATTTGCTTTCAACACCATACTCGATCAAGTGAGATCAATCATCTCTCAAGCACTACGTGTAGTGGTCTATCTTGAGATATTCCTTCTGAGTCTCTCCGTCATTACGTTCATCTACAGTCTAAGTATCAAGACTGATCTGTCGTATTCTCACCCCGCAACGGAAGCCACCTACCTAATCAAATCCATGATGATAGAACATCTCTCCGCAGCAGCAGCATTCATGCTCGACAAGTACCCAGGTATCTTTCCCAACATACGATCCGCTCTAGTCTTCGCCTTTATCATAACAACCCTCGGCTTAAGCATGGTCTTGAAGTTCCTCATCTCCAGATCACAACTAGAGACTATCTCCAACATCCTCCAGTCGCTGCAAGACATCTACCTGATCCTCAGAAACCGTGACATCCCAGGCGATGAATACACTTCCGAAATCGGTGATGAGGGCAACACGGGTACCGAAGATAAAATCCCGAATCCCGAATCCACTTCACGAAAAAACAAAGCAATCGCCGCTTCGCCGATCCCCCGCTCGCCATTGAAACCCCATCACCGCTTCGCCGACCCAACAACAACTGTGCAAGAAGATATTGGACGCTCCCGCGAATTGCTCCGCCAAGAACGTACAGAGCAGCAGATAGCCAACGAACGTACTGAGGGAGACGCAGGTTTCGATACCGACACGGAGTCCGAAAGTGATACATTCATCCATATCGCTATTGACGCAGCGCATCAAGTTAGTATCTCTGATGAACCGGCGTGGTGACGATTTCATGGATTGAGTTGCACGAGACAGCATTAGATAATGACTGGGCATTGGCGTTTTGGGGTTAGGTTTGGGATGGGAGGGGGGCGTTATTTTGGAAAAGTTAGACGGGCATGCATAGTTTTTTGTTTCCATGGTTTTACTCGATAGTCTCGGGGACCGTGTGATACTGGCATCTTGCTGAATTTCAAGAAAAGAAAAGTTATGGATGCAGGATGTGATTAGAGACTATCTTTGTAGATCTCAAATGAGCCATATCATGAAAGAAATCTTCCCAGTAAACTCCCCAAGATAGTCCAGCTCCGTACTAAAAGCAGCCTCTCAGAAACTCCTTTGCCTGACCACACACCAAGACGAGATACTAGAAGAATCACCAGCACCAAAGCCAAATTTCATCACCTCCCCTCCCAAATCACCATTTCCCCTCCCCCAACAATCCCAACCTCACTTCTTCCCCCCAACCCCCCTCAACAAATGCGCAAACTCCGGCGCAACAAAGCCCCTCCCATCAACCCCATCTCCCAACCTTCCCCCTTCCCTCCTCCTTCTCTTCTTCTTCCCCTCCAGCACCTCACCTCCAACTCCAACCCCAATTTCTCCGTTCTTCCTCCTCTCCTCCTCAACCCTCACTCTCTCCCCCTCCCTCTCCCTAACCACCACCGCCCCAAACAACCCTTTTTCATCCAACCCCTCAAACAACGGAATACCCACCTGACCCCTAACATACTCCGCATCCTCACTACCACCACCAGCCCCCACACTCCCACTTTTCGCATTCGCAAATAACCCCGCAGCCTGCGGAAACACACCAACCGGCATACCTAATCTCGGTCTCACATAGCGATACGGCTCAGCGTTTAGCCTAGCGGCTTCGCGTTTTTGCAGCGAGGTAGCGTGGGCGTCGAAGCGGGATTCCCAGGGTATGAGGCAGAGGTCGTGGAAGGCGTGGCGGAAGGAGCGCCAGGCTGTGGTGAAGGGCGAGTTGCGGGGGCAGAGGGGGTGGATGTGTGGTGGGGGGCAGATGAGGGAGAGGAGGCGGGATTTTTCGGATTCGACGTGGGCTTTTTGAGGATTCGCCGGGTCGGGGTTTGCGGGGGAGGAGGTTGAGTTGGTGGTTGTGGTGGTGGAGAGGTGTTGATACTGTGCCAGACCCCAGTACGTATGCGGTTTTGTGTGGCTTTCCAGTAGCCCGATGTGGTATTTTGCGGTGACGGTGTTGGAGACGTTGGTCTGGACGAGAGTGATTTTGTAGTCGAAACCAGTGGTGTCTTGGTAGTAGTGGTATTCGGCTTTCCAGTGAGATTTAGCTTGTGTTCTTGAATCATCGGGTGTGGAAGAAGGGGCTTGTGCCGACTTGATGCTCAATGTAGGACTCGGGGTGGGATGTGAAGGATCCTTCAGTTCAGCTTCTTGCAACGCCGTTGCTCTCTCCGCTCTTCTACGCAAAAGATCCTCTTTTGCGGATACAAAGGGTGTAGGAGGTACGGGTGGAGAAGCAGGTGTTGGAGAAGAAGAAGAAGGGGAAGAGGCAGAAAAGAAAAAACTTCTACTCTTCTTCGGCTTACGCCTAGTACAAGCAGTAGGAGTCTCGCACGTACCTGAACCCGTCAACTTCTTAATCTCCTCACATCCCTCCCGAAACTTCTTACCATCAGCCTCGGCCCCGAGTCTCTTCAGCTTCTTAGCCATGCGCCGCTTGTCGCTCAGAACCTCACGCGCATAACTCTTGACAGGGAGTTTCCTGCGAGCGTTCAGGGAATCGTCAAGCCAGTCGTAGCTGAGGATTTGAATACAGAGGGAGAGTGCTTGGCGCACTGCTTCAGTACGTTGTTTGGACTTATAGGCTTCTTCGCTGGCGAGGAGGTGGGTGACTCCCTCGTGAACGGTGGGCGAGTAGCGGCCGCCATTGCGTTCAATCCAGCCTTGTATTTGTTTGGGCGGGTAGGTATGAGTGCCTGTTGTAGCGATGACGAGGTTCTTTAGGATGCCCATGGTGGAGATTGGAGAGGAGGAGGAGTGCTCTGGACAATGGTATTGAAGAGATGGTAATGGTACTGATATGGACGAGGTCACCGCCTACTTGTCTCAGAGCTAACTGCACCATCTCTGAGGGTTGTTTTACCTTGCAGTGGTCTACAGTACTTAGAGTGATACTGGGTCTATCTATGCGGTGACGCTGCGGCTACAAGGTAAAACACCATTGCGAACGCAGACGATCATCCCTCATCAGACCGCATTCTTCATGACAAACTGTCTCATACATCGATACAAGATAGCACCGAGGCCAAATTGGAACACCAAGATTGTATCCTATCAGTCAAAACCCAGAAACGAAGCGTTGTCAAATACGTTTTATTCAAACGAAAAGCCTCGGTCTAGATACCTTGTCAACAATGCGTCTTCATGAGACTTGTTTACAAACTCTTAGCCGCCTTCACAAATGAACGGATCTTGTCCAAGCTCTGCTGACCATCCTCCTCAACACCACTGCTGACATCAACTGCATAGACCCGGTCTCTGTACTCATCAAGCCCAGCGAGCGTCGTCTGCACGTTGTCTGGGTCCAAGCCTCCTGCCAGTATGACCCTAATACCATCATCCTTGGCAAATACTGCCTTGACGTCTGATAATCCCAGTTGCTTGCCAGACCCTCCAGAGCCAGCATCCAGCAAAGGAAGAGCGTGGTAACCTCTCGTGCCGATGCCATGGTCTCGCGGGTTAAATGCCTTCAGAACAGGAACAGGGACAAGCTTTGCCCACTCGACTGGCTCTTTGCCGTGGAGTTGCACAACATCCAGATTCAGCAATCGCTGCTGCTCAAGCACGTACTCTAGCGACTGACCGCGGAAGACTCCAACGAGCAACGCACGACTATCGTTTCCAACAAGCCGTGATGCACCGTGCTCAAAAAAGTCGGACGCGGTCTTTGAGTCGGCCAGGAGTCCTGATTTTGAGACATTCGGCTTCTTGGTTTTATGAACTGCTTCAGATATGGCAAGGGCCGTCTCTGCTGTCACTGTTCGCTTGAGTCCAGGAGCAAGAATTATACCGATAAGATCAGCTCCCGCTTCGACCGCAGCTACGGCAGCCTCTACACTTTGTGTCCCACAGATTTTAACCATTGGAGCAGAAGACGCCCGAACCTCCTTGGTAGTGGTTCCACCTAGGAGCTCTGAAATGAATTGCGCAGTGTTTGACGCCCGCATGAGCGCTTCTCCAACTAAGACTGCACCAACTCCACTCTTGATGTACGGCTCTACATCCTTGGGGCCAGCGATACCACTCAGCGCGCACAGAATCGTCTCTTTAGGGACCATGTTGATCAAGCGGTTCGTTGTTTCCATGTCGACCTCAAAGTTTACCAGGTTCCGGTTGTTCACGCCGATGACCTGGGCGCCCAACCTGACTGCAATCTCAGTCTCGTCAGCATTCTGCACCTCAACCAGGGGCTCCATTCCAAGCGACCTGGAGTAGTCATAGAGCTTCTTCAAGACTGGCTCTTCTAGCATCTTGACAATTAGCAATACGGTATCGGCACCCGCCAGCCTAGCCTCGAGGATCTGGTACTCGTCGAAGATGAATTCCTTACGCAACACAGCGGGTCGATTTGGCATGCCTTCAATGCTTTGTCGAACGGCTTTGAGGTCTTCGATGCTACCCTTGAACCATTCGGGTTCTGTGAGTACAGAAATGGTGCTGGCGCCAGCCTTGGCATATAGCCGGGCTTGAGCAGGCGCACACGTCGACAGGGAAATGATGCCTTTGGAAGGCGATGCACGCTTGATCTCAGACATGAGCGAGAGTCTGAAAGGAGATTGTCTAAGACGCTCCGGAAAGTTGATCTGCGGCGGGGCCAAGTTCAGGTCGTATGCAGCCTGCAAATCAACAGGTCTTTGAGAAGGGATCTTCTTCTGCTCAGCAACAGCTGCCCTGCGGTGATCGTAAATCTTTTCCAAGATGGAAGTCTGCTTGTCCTTCTTTGCGCCGTTGGCGGTGTCGTTAGAAGCAGCTCCAATTGCCTGGGCCTGTGCTTCTTTTTGAAGTCGGTCGTTTTCAGCCCACGTGCCTCCTTGCATCTTGAGGAAGTTTCTCATCATGAGACGCCCATGCTCAGTCAAAATGCTCTCTGGATGAAACTGCACGCCTTCAATCACATACTCTTTGTGGCGAACACCCATGATGACCTCCTTGATCTCGGCATCTGCATTGGCAGGAATGGTTGCAGTAATCTCAAGGCAGTCTGGAAGTGTGCCGTGAGTACCGGCAAGGGAATGATACCTAGTAACTGGCACATCCTGGGGCACGCCTGCAAAAACACCCTTGTTATCGTGCTTGAGAGGGGATGTTTTTCCGTGGAGAATCTGACCAGTCACATCTACGGTGCCTCCATAGCTGTAGAAGATGCACTGTCTGCAGTGTGTTAATAACCGACGGAAAAGAAAAGGGCAGGAACTCACTCTCCCATGCACACGCCCAGAATCGGAATTTTGCCACTGAAGTGCTTAATGGCTGCATTGCTGATGCCAGCGTCCTTTTCCGGGTGTCCTGGACCTGGACTGATGACAAGTTGAGTGGGCTTCTTTGCGATGAGCTCATCAATGGTGATCTCATCATTGCGGTAGACAGTTACGAATGCGCCTTCAAAGACAAGGTACTGATAGACGTTCCAGGTGAAAGAGTCGTAGTTGTCGATGAGGATTACATTGGAGGCCGTGGGTATCGGCGGAGAAGGGTTGGGATTGCGAGGCGAGTGATCAATCAAGCTGAGGGATGACATTTTGGGGGAGGTAGTAAGACTCTTCCGACAACGGGCCAGGAAAGGTGGTATATAACTTTTTATTGGGGCCGCCTCCGGCACTTGGGCAATGGCACAAGGTTTCGGTGCTTTGCCGGCGATACACGTTGTATTTGGCGGGGTGTTGAGGCGGGATACAGGTAGTGGAGGAGAGTATTACGTGGTTTCCGGAGGCTCGGTGGAAAAGAGTGTATGGGCGGGCAGTGTGGTGGGGTGAGGTGAGTCAAGGATGTGTCAATGAGAAGTATATTGAGGCTGCGGAGTTAACACGGAGGTGGCACGCATTAGTCCTGAGTGCTATTGCAGCGCAGGAAAACCACGGCAGGCATGCTGCAGACATGTACAAGACACAAACAATGGAATGCGACTATACTTTACGACACTGCATTGCATTCCACTGCATTATGCCGGCGTGTTGAGACGATAACATACCATGGCCACATGTAATGTACGCAGAGGGCAAAGCTGGGTGGTCCTGATCCCTGCACGTGCTAGCCCGACTTTCGCGTGAGCTCTGGGTTTGGCGACCGTGCAGACATTCTATACAGACATTCACGTCGACGCCAAACAGACGGCCATTGCCCACCCGCGCCCCAGCAACCCCTTCATGGCCTTTGGCTAGCTGGCCTACACGTCGCGCACCCTAGCGCAAACATGGCCCCCCTTCAATCGCCCGACTTCGACCTGGCAAAGTGCCTCAACGGCGAGCAGCAGCTGGTGTATGTTTACCGCCTCGTACTCTTTCTCTCCACCACCCACCATCCTTCTAACACACTCTTGCAGCACCTGGGACGTCGCATACCGCGCCCTCTGTGACCCTGCAACCGCGTCCAAAAGCGACGCCCTACGCGCATTCCTCTCCACCAAGGAAAACATCGACACCCTCACCCATCCATGGCGGCCCTTCCCAGACCCGTCGTCACAGGAAAAGTCAAAGTTTGAATCCAAGACAGCGCCTATCAGCGTTACTCCTGCCCAAAGCGACCACTATGATGTAGAGGAGATTAAAGAAGACAGCTTGTGGCTGGCCAAGGAAGCGCAAATCTCGGAATACGCAGCCTTGCAACTTGTTGTGCAGGAATGGCAGGGTCGCCCTGCCGCCCAGCTGCTGAGTGGCCTAACGGAAGAGGAGGCGCTCAGTGTGCAAGACGCGGCCGGAATCGCCAACCTAGGCGCCTCGACCTTTGTCCCAAACTCGTCCCTCCTCGCAACACCGCTCGCCTCCAAGACTGCCCACCTCGATACAAAGAACCAGCGCCGTCTGCACATCCTCGACATCTACCACTCGACTTGTGCCTCCATCATTCGCATAAGCCAGCTTCTGGTCTCGTGGGGCTGCGCATCCAATCTGCGCAATCAGACCATATATGGCACTGAATACCTCAGCATTGGCGCCGGATGGATTGAAGAGCTCGGCCAGACTATCGCGGCAGCACAGGACGGACCCTCGGGTGGAAAGGCGCTAGACGAATGCCTCAAGGCTTTTTCAAAGAGATGTGATTCCTTGGATACCGGCTATGCGTGGAATGTGGACGATTCAATACTTGAAGCAGCGTCCGAGAAGTGGGTCGTCGCCCAAACCACCGAGCTGCTACACATTCTCCACTTGGCACTAGTACATGCCGATTTGGTTGCCAAAGATTTCCTTCCAGCGGCCACGATCGAAGACTGGCTCAAGGCCTTTAGTTTCCGTGGCTTCTTTCGCGAATTCCCCGCAGTCACTGCCCGTCAAGAACCTCTTATCCCGGTCATTCAACTCTTGACTTCACTCATGTCCCTGACAATCTTGAAGGTCGACAAGATTATGGACGATCTCGAATCTGGCGATTGCAATACGTGGCATTCTTCGTCGTACATCTTAAACACCAATGTTGTAGAGACCATCACAACCATATTCGGGGAGGCTAAGGTATTGGGTGCCAGTCCTGCCACGCCACCCATGTTTGCCTGGGCCCTCATAACGTGGAAACTTACGAGCCGTGCGAGCTACGAGGAGCAAGAACGCGAACGTCTCCTGGAATCATCAAATGGCGCCGGAAACACCGAATCTGAGCCTTCATCCCTTGAGGAGGCTGCTTTGGTAATTACAAAACTCGAGAACCACGAGTTATTCGACGGCAAGATGCCATACGAAGACCTTGCTACCGTCAGCTCAGCAGCAGGTGTCCTAGCCATCATCAACCAGCTTGTCGAAACC